CATCATCATTATCATCATCATCATCTTCATCATCATTATCATCATCATCATCTTCATCATCATCATCATCATCTTCATCATCATTATCATCATCCTCGTCGTCATCATTATCATTATTATCATCCTCACAACCATCATCTTCATCATCATCCTCATCTTCATCATCTTCTTCATCATCATCATCATCGTCGTCGTCTTCGTCATCATCGTCAGGTTGGTGGGTGGAACGCTCGTCCATTGTTAAAGTTTCATAAGAGATTAATTCCTTTTTCTTTGACGGAAGAAAATACGATTTTTCTTCTTTTTTTCCAGAAATTAATTTTTTATCAATTGATTGATGGATGGTGGGATATATTGAAGAAATGATGGATGAATGCTTGGATAGATAGATCCTAGAGATAAATAAAATGCTAGATGAATAGATCGTCCGATGAATGAATGGATGGATAGATGGATGAATGGATTGATGGATGGATATATAGATGAATGGATGGATAGATGGAAGAATAGATGAATGGATGGATTGAAGGATGGATGGATGGATGAGTAGATAAAATGAAGGAATGATTGATGGTTCATTTGATGAAGATTAGATGAATGAAAGAAAAAATAGATGTAAAAAAATCTTTTAAATAAATGATCGCTCTAAAATAAATTACACCACCACCACCATCATCGTCATCATCATCATCATCATCAACGACATCATCATCATCATCATTATCATTACTATGGACACCATCGCAATCATCATCATCATCATCATCATAATTATCATCATCATCAACAACAACGACATCATTATCATTACTCTAGACATTCTCACCATCATCATCATCATCATCATCATCATCATCATCATCATCATCATCATCATGAACGTCAGAGCGAAGACAATGGGACAGACGTCTTGTATGGCCGAATGTTATCAAACTCTTCAATGGGAGATTGCTTTTAAACGATAACATGAGAAGTTGAAAAATCTGAGAGAGAGAGAGAGAGAAAGAGAGTGAGAGGGAGAAAAAAAAAGAGAAAGAGAGAAAGAAAAAAAGAAAGAAAGACAGGAGAAAACAACAATTAACTATTTCTATATTTTCAATTTAATAAAAATATATTTTTGTTGGCTTAATGGATTCAAAAAACTTTTTGTACAAAACATAAAAAAATGAATGAATGATTTAATGAATAAACAAAAACAAGAATAAATTATTAATTGATTGAATTAATGAATGAATGATTAAAACAAATTTGTAAAAATAGCTACTATCAATTCAAAGACAGATTTTATTTAGTAATCCTCATATCCAACGACCATTTTGGATAAAGAAATAAAGAGAGAGAGAGGGAGAGAGAGAGAGAGAAAGAGAAAAACGATAGGAATAAGGATAACAAAAAATGAAAGAAAAAAGAGAGATAAAGAAAGAGAGAGAGAGAGAGAGACACGACGACGATGATGATGACAATGAACCTAACGCGGAAAGTAAAAAAAATGTTATTCAAGATAGTCACTGTTGAACTAACTTCTCTCCTTCCCCTCTTCCCTCTTTTCTCCCTCCTTTCCCTCCTTCTCTCCCATTTCATCATCATCATCATCGACATCATCAAAATCAATAACAACATCATCACCGTCATAGCCCTTGTCATGGTTTAAGTTGTTTTTAAGAATGATTTATGGTACAAAGTTATCCAACTTTTTACGTAAAATTACGACCATATTACCAAAGCTTATTATCATTATCATTATTATTGTTATTATTATTGTTGTTGTTATTATTATTCTTGTTGTTGTTGGCGCGAAAGTAACAAGCGATCCAATCGTTCGTTCAAGCAAACATCTTCCGTTTGACGGGTCTTCATTGATTAAGAGCACGACCAAGAGAACAAGAAATCGGGTTTGAAGTTGCACGTGTCGTCATCGTCATCGTCGTCGTCGTCATCATCATCATCATCATCGTCGTCGTCATCATCATCATCATCGTCGTCGTCGTCATCATCATCATCATCGTCGTCGTCGTCATCATCATCGTCATCATCGTCATCGTTGTCGTCTTCCTTTTCCTCCTCCTCACCATCCTCACCATCCTCACCATCCTCACCCTCACCATCATTACCATCCTCACCCTCATCATCATCGTCATCATCATCGTCATCATCGTCATCGTTGTCGTCTTCCTTTTCCTCCTCCTCACCATCCTCACCATCCTCACCCTCACCATCCTCACCATCCTCACCCTCACCATCATTACCATCCTCACCCTCATCATCATCGTCATCATCATCGTCATCATCATCGTCATCGTCGTCATTTTCAACATTTCGACATGGATCAAATCATTTCGCGTGAAACGAAACTTTCATCTTGTTTTCTTGTTACGAATAGATATACAGATACACATATATATTCTTCTCTCTCACTCTTTTTTTTTCTCTCTCTCTTTTGCCCTCTCTCTCTTTCTTTCTCTCTCTTTTTTCTCTCTCTCTCTCTCTCTCTCTCTCTCTCTCTGTCTTTCACTTTCACAATTCGAGACAGACGATGTGATTAAATTTTCCTGTCAAGTATAAATTGATTATTGTCATTCTGTCAAACCAGCAAACAAATCAAAAGATAAAGAAACAATGAAATGAATTTTGAAACATCGCTTAAAAGTTTATTTGAAGTATATATTTTATTTATTTGTTTGTTTCAAACAGATAGAAATAGAATAAAATATAGTTAATTAATTTCAAATAAAATACATATATAATAAAAGAAAATTCACGCATATTAAATTAAATTAAATTGACATAAATTTTGTGTAAAACACTAAACTGTACGTGTTGAAATGGTTGAAAAAATATAACTGTGACAACGAAAATTTGTTACTTTGGTGTTAAAATACACATTAAAATAAACTTCATTGCTATATTTCAATGTCCTTAGTAACAAAACTTATAAAAATTAGCATATAACATAGCAGGGAATACTTATTTGAGTTACTTATCATTGAAAATATCGACTTAAGTTATTTATCACCGACGCGTGAAAAAGCACCATAAAAAACTCCACCAAATTTTGAAAATTAATAACCGCAGACAATAATGAGTGACCTTTTACGCAAACACGCTGCGACAAAAAGCAACAAGATCTCACGAACGGAAATGTTCATTTTTTTACGTCGTTCGTGTTATTTTTCTGTCTGCATAAACATTCAATTATGTGTTTGCGTTATTCAAAATGGATGAACTGTAGTTGGTGCTAGGCTGATTGCGTTCAGTGTGGAGTCATGTACACGCACGCACATACGCACAGACATACACACACATACATACACACACACACACACACACACAAACACACAAACACATTCTCGTGTATGTATGTATGTATGCATGTAAAACAATAAGTTTTTTGTTGAAAATGGGTTTGTGGAAAATGAAATAAAACGAATAAAGTGAGTGGATGGAAAAGTGTGACTTGGCAATTAACGCAAGCATGCTGTCATGGGAGTCAACCCGAAATGGATAAGTTTTTTTTTTTTTTTAGAAAAAATGTTTTTTTTATTTTTAAAAGTTCGTTAGAGGATTGTTGGGAATGTTCTGTTGGATATTGTTGTAGCAGTTTGTTGTTGTGGATGTTGATGTTTTGTTGGTGTGGG